TTCTTCAGTTTCCAAGATACAGGATATAGGAACTTTTTATGCCCCCGGATTGAAGGATCTCGGGGGTATATTGTTTTTGTCTTGTCTGTTTGTTTGTCTGTCTGTTTGTTGTCAACTTTAACCTAGCCCATAACTATTACGCTGTCAAGGGTAAGGCTTTAATATTTGACATGGGTGTTCATTATGACAAGACCTCTCCTTGGGTACCATCATATATGACCTTTTGACCTTAGAGTTTGACCCAGTTTTGCAAAGTTTTGCCAAACTTTAACCTTGGCCATAACTTTTGAACGGTTGGTGCTAGGGCTTTCATACTTCACATGTGTAATCCTTGTGATAAGAACTTCCTTTGAATACCAACAACTTTGACCCTTTGACCTTGGAGTTTGACCTACTTTTGGAAAACTTTAACCTTGGCCATAACTTTTGAACGGTTGGTGCTAGGGCTTTCATACTTTACATATGTAATCCTTGTGACAAGACCTTTCTTTGGATACCAACAACTTTGACCCTTTGACCTTGGAGTTTGACCTACTTTTGGAAAACGTTAACATTGGCCATAACTTTTGAACGATTTGTACTTCGGCTTTCATATTTCTCCTGTGTATTTCTTGGGAGAAGGCCTTTCCTTTGGCACCATTAATTTTGACTATTGACCTTGACCTTGATGTTTGACATACTTTTGAAAAAAAAGTTTAACCTTTTCCATATCTATTCAATGGTTGCTGCAAGGCCTTTCATATTTCACAGGTTTATTCCTCGAGACAAGACCTTACTTTGGGTATCAACATATTTGATTTGCATTTGAGAAAGTTTAACCTTTGCTTTAAGTTGCCATACGGGGCATCAGTGTTTCACAAACACATCTTGTTTGATTTGCAGAGCAATTGTACATATATCAGAGATGTGCATTTTACATGGATTTTGATTTTTAGTTATGTATGAGAAAAATAGCAGCTGTTGAACTTAGTAATTTATTTTGTAAAATATTGCATTAAGAGTACATCGTTTGTCGTAATAACTTCTCCAAAAGTTTTCAAGATGGGGACATTATTTTGCAGATCGATTGTATATATATCAGAGATGTGCATATCACTTGAATTTTGATTTTATTTTGATAATTTTTCAGGAAAAAATACCTGCTGTTGAACTATTTGAATTATTTTTTGCAAAATATTGCAGATATGTACATCATTGTCCGGATAACCTTCTCCTACAATTTTCAATATAAGAAGTTTTTATTTTGCAGATCAATTGCACGTATATGACACTTTGATTTTTTTTTATCACCCATGGGGAAAATACCATTTGTTGAACTTACAGTTATTTCTCTCCAAAGGATCACTTCTAGGTGTATATATGTGTTGACCTATAGGGCCGATATTGGTTTCAGTCTTTAGAAAATGCTTATCGATATCCGTTCCGGTTGCTGACTTCAGGCCACATGCGTGTAGTTTCTTGTTTCTCATGCATCGCTTTACTTGTAGTCAACTGTGTGTCCATATGACCCTACCTCCTTCGTATGAGGGTCCTTACTTGATGCCTGGGTAATGACAACGGAACATAAAACCTTTACTGACCTTACCACATTCTTTTCTAATCTGTAAACTTCCCTCCTGCATATTTGGCATAACATGTCGCCAATGCACACAATTTTCCCGAGGAATGAACTGCATCTTATCTGCATAGCGCAGTATCTCTCCCACTGGCACAACAGTACTATTACCCAGAGATTTTCTTGAAAGACAAACGCAGCAATTTTTGCTCGACATGATTTTTTTCGTGACACCTGCAGTATCGAGTAACACAAAGTGAATGATTCGTGTCCTCGAACAAAGTGAGGTATAGTTCCGGTTGATTGCGTTCAGTTAAAGAGATTTTATGATCTGCAATTCCATAAATGTCTTTTATATCAACAGCATTCATTCATTTCATGAAGAAAATAGAAGTAAAATGGAAAAGCCTGTATGAAAAAAATAAATTCGTGTTTTCACAGGTGAAAGTTTGAAAAAATAAAGGTATGCCATCAGGTGGATTCGAACCAGGACACTAAAAATATTCTTGTTGAGAGTCTGCGGTCTATCTTTCTGAGTTATACTGTCTATGAAGACATACGTCATAGATATAAACCAGTATGATAGAAATATGTTTTCGCATTTTTTGTAGGTTTTTCACGAATTTCGGCAGGTGTGCCCCTAAAAAAAATCTTCTTTTAAATTATTCCTTAGATCAAATTCTATCAAAATTTCATAATTTAATTTAGGGGCAGGCCTGCCCTGAAGGACTTCTATGCCAAAATTCACGCAAAAATTAGTGGTTTAACGGACAAAATACTGTTTTGATCAACTTTGGAGGTTAATTTCAAAGTTGCAAATAAATAAATTTAGGTTCAAAATGCAAATTTGAAAAATTTAGACAAATATACGATAGAAAACAACTAAAGAAAATTGATTTTTAAATGCGACTTTTTCCGGAAAATTGTTCTCTCCTATAGGTCAAATCTTTTGTTATAACGAATACATCCTTTGCAAATAGGGTACACTCTCCAAAATTTGCAAATAGGGTACATTGATTTTGTTGGGATGTCAGCTCCTATAGTCTTCAGAATGGAAAGTTTTTAATTCATGTGAAAAATACCAGTACTCTTCACACAAAAGAAAACCCGGTTTGATGTCACATTGACAGATTTCCACGTTTTCTTATACTAGTATATCCCCATGTAAAACTTTGCTTCCCTATTGTGGTCCACCCTACCCCGTCTGGTTTAAAATTGACTCTGAATTACTCGAGTCTTCTTGTGTACAATTATCACCAAAATCCATATCCTGTTCTATTTAATTACATGTACATGAAAAAAAATGGCCCGCTCTATTCCTGGAGACCATGATTTGAACAAACCTGAATATACACTAATAGTCTTAATTCCTGAGTTTGCTTGCACATACGGATACAATTTACTTTTTAGAACAATTTATCATTTTTTTTGGTTCCTGGCACTGCACAATTAGATTCTTTTACAGTAAATATCACCAATCAGGGCACTGTTGAATTGAAGAAATCCTTTATAGGATTTGTTCCCATATATTCACATTAAAACCTTCAATCTCTCACTTCTCAATGGCTCTAACTGGCCGAGTATAGAGGTCTAAATTTGAAGCCCTTCATCGGTATATGGTGACGTCTCCATACGTGTGAAAATTCTTGCATGGGACGTTACGATCAAACAATCGTTCCCAAATTAAGGCCCATGGTATATACTATACCAGGAGAAGAGAAGAAAATTTTCAAAGAATAAATGCATTTTCACTATATAATCAATAGGGCCCCTCCTTAACACCAAAACTCCTGACCCAAGGGTAATCAATTCACAAATTTTGAAGAGGCACCCTTGCTCATCATAACCATGCACTTAGTTTGCTAAATAGCAACGGGCAGAGAAGACGTTAATAAGTCTTTACAAAAGGTGTGTTATTATGAAAGAGTATTTGTTCATAAATTTGTACAGGTTTTACCACACCAAGCTAAAAGAAATATATGATAGACATGTTAACCTTAAATTGATTTTAAGCGCAATGAGTTAGGCAAGTTGTCTCTTTCTAATGATGCTCAACCCTCAAGGAGGTACCCCTGAAAGATAAAAACACAGATATTACCATAGACTTCAATGCTAAAAAGAAACACTCAAAACACTTTTGCACACCATATATACACTCTCCTTTAATTCATTCTGCACAATACAACATAAAAGCAAAATCACACTTCATCTGTGTCCATTCCAGAGCATCCATACACCACTGAATCCATTCTAGATCACTCAAGATTCAGTCTGCTCCAGATCACACATGATTCATATTCCAGATCATTCATGTTTCTGTTCCAAATTGCTCAAGTTTCTATTCCATATCACTCAAGATTCAGTCTGTTCCAGATCACTCATGATTCCATTCCAGATCACTCATGATTCCATTCCAGATCACTCATGATTCAGTCCATTCCAGATCACTCATGATTCAGTTCATTCCATTCATGATTCAATTAATTCAATTTTTTCCAAATTTTCTCAATACACACTTCAGTCTAGATTACATCTTTCAAGTTCTGTTCATTTCAGTCCAACCAATAATCCAATTACTTTTCTCATAATGGTCACACAGTGTTAAATAGTTTTACATACTGAAATACAAATCTCAAAAAATCTATTTAGAAGTAAATACAATATCAGCATCAGAAAAAAATTAAGGTGAAATTTAAACAATTTAGAAAATTTTAGGCATCTGCTGCATGTAGTAGGTTGCTAGGGAAAATATAGAAAGCTACTTTTCGTAAAAATTTACAACAAATGGGAATGCTGAAGGTAGATACACTGATTAACAATTTATGCAAATCCACACATAATATTTTATGTACATGTACATATTAAGATTTCTGATCATATTTAAGCAACACAAAAAAAAAAACAAACAAACTTGGAACCAAGTTCCCATGTTAAAAATCTTATGAATTACTATTCTTTTAAACTCTGAAAGGATAAACAAGTTGTCGTGCTTAGCACTGATTTCTCCTCTGAAAGCACCACTTTAGTGAAGGTGAAACAACCTCTTTAAATGTATAAGTTAATATGCTATAGAGCAATGTGTTAATTAAAAGGTACAGTTTAGATGTCAGTTTGTATAAGTAATTTCTCTGAATGGACAATATAATTATGTGTGGTTAAAAAACTGTTAAACCTATGGTGCAAATTAACAAAAAGGATAAATATCATTTTGGAATAAGCAAAGTTCTAGAAACTGCTGTAGTGACCTTATAAATGGTTAAACTCTAGGGCTGGGATGATACAAGTAAAATGTGAAACAATACATCCTGGTACAATGACTGCAAATTCTGCTACATTCTGCACATTAAAATACTTTTTAGTTCAGTAATTCAACTTTACACTGATAAAAGCTTAGATTTTTTTTTCAATACTACCAAGTAATTTCCTAGAAAAAAAGAGAAAATAAAGTCTTTGATATTTTTTTTACGAGAGGAAAAATATTTGTTCAGGACTTTTTGTCTTTGGATTAAAAGAATTAATTTAACATAACTTATGTATTGACTTGGCTATACATGTAATTTTTGATATACATTCAAAATATAGGAACAGATATATACTACAAGCAGTAGATGCATGGATCATAGAAGTCTGTCTTCCCATATCATTCCAGCCCTAATAAACACAAGGCTTCGCACTCTGCATATAAAAAAAAAATCAACACCACACTGACGCACACCAAACAATGTATCCTCCCATACATTAACTCCAACCACTCTGATGGCTGTTTCCTCCCCAGTTGGGATATCCGCCTGCGGATGTGTTGGTGTCAGCTGTCCCCCAGCCTGCAGAGTTCTGAGTACTAAAGAACCCTGTTTGCTGGGTCTGTCTGGCAGTTGTGGTTTGAACACCAAAAGGATCCCCATGACCTTGACCCACTGGCTGTGGTTGGGGTGCTGGTAACTGACCTTGACTTTGTAACATAGCCTGGGCTGCTGCTAGCACAGCTGAATTCAATAAATTCATGCCTATGCTATTAGCCATGTTTGGGTCAGGAACAGGTGGAACTGTACCTACAGTAGCAATTGGTTTACCTTGCTGGCTCCACCCCCCATGTCCCCCTCCCCTCCCACTTCCTCCATGATCAAATCTGCCCCTGTTATCATTTCTGTCTGCATTTTTGGGAGCCGCTGTGGTGACATGAACACTTGCACCCTTGATAATATGGTCTTCCCCACAAAGAGATCGAGCAACCCTGTGATCTGCAAAAGTAACAAAAGCAAATGCTCGGAAGGGTTTGGGAATGAAAACATCGGACACTTCCCCATATTTGCAAAAGTAACTTTTTAGGTCATCAGCTGTTATGTCTTCAGTGCATCTTGCTACAAAAACTTTTCTGCTAACCATTTCTGCAGCACCTTCCTGTATGAAAGGAAAAAACCAAGAATGAATTATCATTATTATGCATTATATAATAATATATACAGTTGTACATGTAATAAAATGAATTAATAAATTTTCATTTGAATTTTTACTTTCACAATGCATACTTATAAAACTGTATCTATGAGCAATCAAAGTAAAACATTGTCTTTGGACTTTGCAAAATGCCAATACTAGGAATGGTATAATGATATGTCAAATGATATCTTTTAATTTTTGATGTTTTTATTGTTTAAAGACTGAGAAACGGATCTCTAAATTTGATTAATTTGTATAAAACAAATTATTCCACTGAAAATACTTGCATTTGAATTTGGAATAGCTACATCACACCATCTTCCATCAATCATGTGTCTTTGTGCCAAAACCTTTACTTGTGAATCATACTCTAAAAATCGAATAAAGCCAAACCCTTTTGATGCTCCTGTTTTCACATCTCTCTTCACCTAAAAAAAAATAAGCAATTACACAAAATGTACTTTTTATGATAAAACTTCATCATAATTACACTAAATCTTAATAAAACCCAAAATATCTGAGGTAGAACATTTTTTTTCAAGAACATTAATAACATTTTTTTAATTGAGCTCATTGCTCAAAGAGCAATAGCTGACATTTTTTTTTAATCATTCATATGATTTTGTAATAAATTAACTTACTTGTACAAGAAGCAGTTCTCCAAATGAAGAGAAGTATCTGCGCAGATCATCTTCATTACTTTTCCAAGGTAAGCCAAGAACAATGAGATCACTGCATCTTTGTTTATCAACACATTTATTCTTTGCCACTGAATTTTCACCAGCCTCATCTCCTTTGCGTTTTATCATCACATTATCTGCAAGTTGATATGTTATACAAGTTCATTCAAGAAGTAACTGTGTGGTCACAGATTCTTTATAAATCCCCAAAACTTTTAGAACTTTGTCAATGAGTACAAAGTCTCTCAAAGGAGACGCAATCAGGGTTCAACATTAACTCTTGTCTGCTTGTCCGGCACCAGTGAAAAAAATTTACGGACAAGTGAATATTGCTGGGCACCTGTCCGATTGGACAAGTGCTTTTTTATGAAGCCTCTAAATAATAAAAGGAACAACTGGTGAAAAGTTTAACAATAGGTAATAAAGACTGAAGCAGTACATAAAAGCCAAACTTTAATCCCAATATTAATCACTATGTAATTGAGTTCACACTCGATCGGGATTGAAGTTCACTAATTGCATACCACTGCAAAGGCATGGATCTTACCAAGTTTGGATTCTGTTTGATGTTGACAGTTTCATTTGTGAGCATTTATGTTGCTGTCAGGACAGAAAGTCTAAATAAAATTTTGTCTTATGTGTTTGTCATATGTATCAATAAAATCACAAATCCCTCAAGCGTGCATAAAATGGACTTTATTTTAAGTAATAGTTTTCAAGTTGACAGAATTATTTATTGAAAAATATCAAGTGAGGTTGAAGTTCGGACAAGTAAATGTCTTGGTCACTTGTCCAAATGGACAAGTATGAAAAAAAGTTAATGTAGAGCCCTGGCAATTTGATGAATGATTTTCTCATGCATTCAGAGTTCAAAGCTGAAAACTTTCAGTGCACCAAAATGTGATTTTTTTTTAACATGCTGAAAAAAATGCACATTTAAGAAAAAAGTCAAATGATAACGATAAAAAAAATGCATGGTTAAGAAAAATGTAAAATGATAACGATAAATAAAAATAATGATAACTAATTCAAGCTATTTAGCTAAATCAAGAAATTGTGCCGGACCTATTCAAGCTGTCTTGTAAGAGTTACAATCTTTACATCCTTTTTTTTAAACTGCAACCAACATGTTAAGAACTTCATGAGATGTCACTTCTGTGTATGTATATACAGAAAAAAAATGTAATTTGTTGCTGGATATCATCTCTTGCATGACTCACTGATTGAATAAGGAACAAATATAAAAATGCCAATATAAATTACTCCTTGTTCAATACAAACCTTTGGGGAATACAACAATGTAAACAAAATTTCCCCAAACTCCATCTGGTGGATGCAGTCTTCCCTCTGATAGTCTAATTCCACGAAAATTTCCAGTGCTTGGATTTCTGTATTTCATTCCACATGCCCCCGGAAACTGTGCGGCGAGTGTGCTGAGCAACAACGAACCGTCATCCTCACTAGGAATTTCTATCGGCTCGTCACCCTCTTCGTCACTAACCTGGATATACTGTGCCATGGAAGTACTCTTGCAAAATTGAAAATCAGGAACATTAAATTTTGATTTTGGAAAGAAGAAAAAAGTAGCCAACCAGCGCCATATGTAATTCAGAATTAAGTGAACATCGAACCCGAATTTATTCATTTCAAGAGGCCATAACCTGCACAGCTCAGCTCAGTTGTAAATATATATATATATATATATATATATATATATATATATATATATATATATATATATATATATATATTTATATATATATATATATATATATAGTCTTCGAACCAACTTGATTCAATATACCTAGGAAAAATATTCATTTTTGTAAACAGATTCATTTCTTCTTTTCTTCAGTTAGCTAGAATTATTACTTCCATTTTTAAAATAGTGATATGTTCATATACCTACTTTGTCTCGCTCAGTCTTGAAGAGTTGTTTGAGATTTGAATGGACCTATTGCATACTATATATTGTATATTTATTTCATGATGGTGATGGAAATATGAAGATTTATTCAGCCAAGAAAAATCATATTCTCCCAGGGCTTCGACGAGAGGGGGGAGGGAGATTTTTCCGAAGCCTCTGAGCTTGAATACATAAAAAAAAAAAAAAGATGTATTTGTGAAATACTGATGCCCCCGAATGGCAGCTTATGGCAAAGGTTAAAGTAAAGTTTCTCAAATGCAAGTCAAAATCCAGACCAAAAGATGAAAAATGTTGGTACCAAAAGAAAGGTCTTGTCACGAGGAATATACCTGTGAAATTTGAAAGCCCTAGCTTCAACTGTCTAAAAGTTATGGCGAGGGTTAAAGTTTTTAAAAAGTAAATAAAACGTCAAGATCAAAGGGTGAAAGTTGGTATCCAAAGAAAGGTCTTGTCACAAGAATTACATATGTGAAGTATGAAAGCCCTAGCATCAACCGTTCAAAAGTTATGGCCAAGGTTAAAGTTTTTCAAAAGTAGGTCAAACTCCTAGGTCAAGGTCAAAGGGTCAAAGAGGTTGATATCCAGAGGAAGGTCTTGTCATAAGAAATACACATGTGAAGTTTGAAACCCCAAGCCAGGGATCGACATTAACGGTTGTCCGATTGCCCGGGACAAGTAAATTCTCAGTTCGGGCAAGTGAAATTGTCGACGTTCTTGTCCGATCGGGCAAGTGAATTTTTCTCAAACAAATGTACATATTTATTTAGTTTACATTAATTTATAAATAAAACAATAAATTGAACACTTGATTTCCTCCACGCACCTGACTAACAATGTTTTTGCATTTGGAATTCCTTGGTAGCGTTTCTGGATTATACCACTCATTTAAAAATCAGGTTCATTATTTTCTTTCGTAGTAAATACGCTCTACGTCTAACAAAGTTTTGTTAATTTCTTATAAGGAAATTAAATTATCTATTCAAGCATAGGATATAAGTACAGTGTAACACGATGTATCCTTATCAAGATAAGATGTATGTTTTGTAGCAGCCATCTTCCTAAGCGTTGCTTCACAGTTATCTCTGAAAGCACGAATCACAAAAGGATCCTACCCAAAATAATTTTAAAAATATAAAATTTTATTAAAAGGAAACGGAAGGTTATTGTTGCATGGCAGTGTGTGTAAACAGGTTAAATTTACAAGCACAGTGGTATTCATTTATGTACAAGTGCAGCATGCATCGACATTTTTTCAGGTAGCTCAACTTGCCAAATTGACAGTAGTGTATCTTTTTTCTTATAATAACGTTATAGTAATTAATAATTTTCTTTTAAAGTTCTTTCTTAATTTTGGGCAACCAAGTTTTGCATTCGGACAAGTCAAAGTTTGAGATCACTTGCCCGAAGGGCAAGTGAATCTGAAAGTTAATGTCGATCCCTGCAAGCACCAACTGTTCAAAAGTTATGGCCAAGGTTATAGTTTTTCACAAGTAGGTCAAACTCCAAGGTCAAAAGCTTAAAGTTGTTGGTATCCAAAGGAAGGCCTTGCCACAAAAAATACACATGTGAAGTTTGAAATCCCAAGCACCAACTGTTCAGAAGTTATGGCCAAGGTTAAAGTCTCATAAAATTTTGTTAAAGTGGGTCAAACTCCAAGGTCAAGGTCAAATATGATAGTTTCCAAAGAAAGGTCTTGTCACAAGGAATACACATGTGAAATATGAAAGTCATATATAGCTTCAACCAATCAAAAGTTATGGGCAAGGTTAAAGTTGACAACAGACAGACAGACAAACAGATAAAAAGACAAACAGACAGAGAGGACAAAAACAATATAACCCCCGGATCTTTCGATCCGGGGGTATGATAATAAGACTAAGAATTCGGACAATTGTACTTTTAGCAAACAAGAAGTAGAAACTATTCAGCACGTTTTCATTGGTTGTGAAAAAGTTTTATCTTTGTGGGCCAACCTCAGTTTACATATTTACAAAACAATTTACAATAGATTTAATGTTTTAATGTTGAAAATACTATTTAAATACTGCTAATGTTGAAAATACTATTTTAGGTGAACTACCAATGACATGTAGCAACATTAATGTTAACAATGTTAAAAATTTTATAAAATTATATACAAAACAGTATATTTTTACATGTTTAATGCAAAGTAAAATTCCAAATCCTTTTGGGCTATTAAATCATATGAAATTGAAAAATAATATTGAAAAATGTATAGCTATAAAAAAATTTCTACATAGAAAATTTGAAAAAGAGTGGTCCTTGTGGAAAAAACATATTTCAGTCAGCTTAAAACTGTTACATTGTTTGCTATCATATTTAGATTTTTATTGATGTATCTTTAAATTAATATAGAGTAGTAAATATATATTTCAAGAAGAATATGTAAAGTTATGATTATAAATATGCTATAGATTTTTTTTCAACCATTTTACCATTAATTATTATCATCTAAAGAGCGAGTCTATACATATATAAGCTAGTAAGTGTCTGTGCCAAAAAAACAACAACACTCTTTTGTCTTCTTTTTATACATGTTATGATATTGGGCAATGTAAATAGATAATAAAAATTAAAAGAAAAAATAAAATGTTAACATTCAGAATTTGAATATCTTGAATAAATAATTTTATTTTTAACAAACACTTTTAAAATATTTAACGTTTTTACCGTATTTGAATACAAACACATAGCCGACACATAATGAAAATTTTATTAAATCTAAACTGTATGTTCTCAGTTTTTATGATCTTGAGACCCATTCTGCGATAAAAAAAAAAAAAAAAATGGGGGAATTCTGTAACGTTGTCATCCGTGATCAGGCGAGCTAAAAATATACGAGCGAATCTATGTACAAATTATTAATTTTCCGTTTTCAACCAATCAAAATTACTGTTTCATGATAAATTCGGCTTACCGGAACTGCAGAACTGCTTATGAAAATTCGGCTTCGGCATATTTGCAAGAAATAAAAGAAATCATTCATAATGTTGATCAAAGTGAAGGTAAGAAAGAATCGCTTTGAATTAAAAAAAAAAGTACTTTTTTTTTTGATGTTCTGAATATTTTACCAATATTTTTATGTTTCTTGTTAACGATTTCCCCTAATTTTTCAGACATTGACAGGAAAGGAGGTAAGATATTGATATTTTTTACTCGTACATTGTGGGTAACATGAACCATATATTTGGTGTTTCTTCATCTTTTTGTAAAGAAAGAACGGATATATTTATATTTACAGAATACGACATCAATACTTATCATAAATGTCTCTGAATCTTGGTATATTGTGAAAAGGTTTCTATATTTAGATCTGACAATCGGCACAGTAAATTTCATACTTGTATATACAATGTACTTATTTGAAAATATCACTGTTATTCATAAGATGATACCTTTTCAGAGCCAGAGGTAACTTAATTAATTTATCAGAATCAGATCAAAGGTAGCCCCCCCCCCCCCAACACATACACGCACACATTGACAGAATAATCTGTGTCTAATAAACACAAATTATTCTGTCAGTGTGTGTGTGTGTTAAAACCCTAAACACAGGTAGACGTAAAATGGAGTAGATCTACTCGGCATGATTTTAAAGAAAACAAAAGGAGTTGGACTGAAAATAAGAAATAATCATTAAAAACCTTTTTGAGATTTGTAAAATTGATGAAAATTTGCATAAAATGAGAAAATACAGAAATTGCCATGTTTTGTGACCTTTATGTATCCCATAGCCTAGAATCAATAGTAATTTTGTAATAGACTGTTTCATGATAACTGCGGTACTGCTCTTTTGCAGGGCAAAATGATATATTTTGGTGAAATATGATGTAAAAGTAATTGTTAAATATACGTCATTTAATTATATGTCAACAAAAACTTCGCCAAACGTTATTAATTTGCTCTGCAAAAGAGTAGTACCGCAGTTATCGTGAAAGGGCTAATAGGGATTAAGGATGACAACCATAGTTGCCAACTCACCCGATTTCGTCGGGTTACACCCGATTTTTCTACCCTTAACCCAATTATTAGCTCACCTCGACGAAGTCGAGATGAGCTAATGCTATACCCCCGGCGTCGGCGTCGGTGTCGGCGTTGGCGTTAGCGTCGGCGTCCCAGGTTAAAGTTTTAGGAGCAAGTCCCATTCCCAAGTAACTATAAGCCCTACCTGGACCAAACTTGCATGGATGATGCATCTAGGGATGGACACTACCAAACTTGCTTCGGATGCTGGATCTGACCTAGATTTTCCAGATGAGTGACCAGGTTAAAGTTTTAGGAGCAGGTCCATTCCCAAGTAACTATAAGCCCTACCTGGATCAAACTTGCATGGATGATGCATCTAGGGATGGACACTACCACACTTGCTTCGGATGCTGGATCTGACCTAGATTTTCCGGATGAGTGACCAGATTAAAGTTTTAGGAGCAGGTCCATTCCCAAGTAACTATAAGCCCTACCTGGATCAAACTTGCATGGATGATGCATCTAGGGATGGACACTACCACACTTGCTTCGGATGCTGGATCTGACCTAGATTTTCCAGATGAGTGACCAGGTTAAAGTTTTAGGAGCAGGTCCCATTCCCAAGTAACTATAAGCCCTACCTGGACCAAACTTGCATGGATGATGCATCTAGGGATGGACACTACCACATTTGCTTCGGATGCTGGATCTGACCTAGATTTTCAGTGAGTGACCAGGTTAAAGTTTTAGGAGCAGGTCCATTCCCAAGTAACTATAAACCCTACCTTGACAAAACTTGCATGGATGATGCATCTAGGGATGGACATGGCCACACTTGCTTCGGATGCTGGATCTGACCTAGATTTTCTGGATGAGTGACCAGGTTAAAGTTTTAGGAGCAGGTCCATTCCCAAGTAACTATAAGCCTACCTGGACCAAACTTGCATGGATGATGCATCTAGGGATGGACACTACCACACTTGCTTCGGATGCTGGATCTGACCTAGATTTTCCAGATGAGTGACCAGGTTTAGATTTAGGAGTAGTCTCGTTCCCAAGTAACTATAAGCCCTACCTGGACCAAACTTTCATGGATGATGCATCTAGGGATGTACACTTACCAACCTGCTTTGAATGCTGGATCTGACCTAGATTTTCCACATGAGTGAATTTTAGCCATATTTTAACCAAATTAGCATGGATGATTTATCTAGGGATGGACACTTCCAGACTTGCCTTGGATTCTGAATCTGATGTACATTTTCCAGATGAGTGACCAGGGTAATTTTTTTGGAGTAGCTATATAATATTATGGCCTGTTATGATTAAACTTGCATAGATGGTGCATCTAAGGATGAAAACTTCCAGACTTGCTTTGGATGTTGGAACTGACCAAAATTTTCTTGATTACTAAACAGGTCAAAAGTTTTTTGAGCAGGTCTATAATTAAATCAAACTTGCATGGATATTGATCTTGGGATGTACCCTAACTAGAAAAAAAATATGATGTGAAATTTGCCTTACATGTAGATAACATTCGTCGAGGTGAGCTTCGTAATCTTTGATTACCTATGTTTTTTTATGACCCGGCGGGTCATGCTTTTCACCCGACTTTTGCCAAACAACCCGAAAATCTCCCGATTTCCGGATTTGGTTAGTAAATTAGGTTGCACTTTTAACTTCCAGTTACAACCCAAGCTGGATATACGTAAACAATGCCGATGGCTATGTTCAGTAGGGCCGTGTACAAGTAAATTTTCAGTGCAGGCGTAAACAATTACCTGAGAGTTGTTTTGACAAAAAAAAGTTTGAAGTCAATTTAAAATGGTTTCTGATAGAAGAGATCGTTATCAGGGCCAGCAGGAACAAATTGAACCAAGAAAATGAGAAACGATATTTATGTACATATCAAGGAATCTTGGAATTTCAAAACAACTTTCATTAGATGAAATAAAGTGTTCGAAGATGGTGTAGGCATAACTGTACATTTAATAGCATTTGTTAATTAAATTAATTCGGGTTAGGAAAAAATAAATTCAAAAACCAAAATGAGAATACTTTCAAATTTAGCACAAACTTTCCATGTACTTCAAATCAGCAATGCAGATTCTGAAAAGACTTTCCTTTAAAAAAAAAAAATTGCACACTTAATTCAGGTCAATACTGAATAATGAAACCTTCAATGCTCTTTTAACATGTAAATTTAATCAATATATATTAAATATTTTATCATTGTAATTAAAGCCTTTAATAAAATAATTTCAATACACAAATACTTATATATACATATATATTAATTTGATCATGGTACTAAATGTGTCGTGAATGTCGTTACGCGCTATGACCAGATATTTTACTTTCCAAATCTGGTCATAACCAGATTTTTACATGTTGGAGGTTGGCAAGTATGATGACAACAGGTTTTTATAATGATAAAATGTTTCAAAGTTCTTAGAGACATCCTAAATCAGGGCCAAAAGGGGTCTTAACCAATCTTTACATACTACAACTTCGCATATAAATGTATTCTGATGAAGAAGCATTTCTGGCATTCAAAAATGCTTTTATAACCCTGATAACCCTATAAAATTTGTGATAAATTATTCTCCCTCCCCCTTCCTTTTTCTGTTGGTACAATATAAAAATAATTCATTAGGTGATGTTTATTTCCTTCTCTGTATGAATTATTTCTTACAGTATGGTGTTTTGTCATTACAGATTGAAATTGACATCGAACCTACAGACAAAGTAAGTGCAATCATGCATGTATATTGCAATTTTTTTGTCTGTAAACACCCAAGGAATGAAAATACATGTATTGTAAACCATGAACCAAATATTCAGTACATCTATAATTCTACAATAATTACCTGGTATCATCATGTATAGGTATGTACTCATAATAAGAACAAGTTATGCTATACTAAAAAATTAAGAATTTCTATTTATACACTAATTTTCTCAAGGTGGAGAGAATCAAAGAGAGAGTGGAAGAAAAAGAGGGGATTCCCCCACCACAACAGAGATTGATTTTCAGCGGTAAACAAATGTAAGTTGATTAGTAAACTTTAGAACAAAGCCCCAAAGAATATCTGAAATTCAAAATAATGCAAATCTCACATCTATTACTTATACAAATAATATATACATTATTCTGAATACCTAAATGTCATTGACATATCCTAATTTATAGGGATGGAACGATAACAAAATTTCTTGCTACGATACTCTTTCAGATACATGCATTGTAATATCAGTACAAATTAAACCATACTCAAATGACTTATCAAAATTTTGAAAATAAAAGTGCAATTATGATGGTGGACTGAAAGTCAGTAATCCAAGCTTAACTAAGTTGGTGTTATATTGAAAGTGTATTAGAACATTGAATACCCCATTTAGTCGTTGACTATCAACAAGACATATAGCCACCAGGGTATGAGCCTTCAAAATTGAAAATTTTGTACCATGAGACCAGGGTTTAGACTCAAGGTGTCAAAAGAGTCCAGAGTTCTAGTATAAAGTTGGGCTAGGGTTGTCATCTGTTGAGAATTCAAGATTCAAGCATATGTGGGAGTGAAGGAAAGAAAAATCCCACTGCAGGGAATCACCAGCAATGCCAGGGGTCCTGAGTCAACACGTTGCTGTGTTGCTTGCCAGTTTCATTCAATAGTTCATGGGCTGACTGTAGCGACGTCTTTCAGAAAAATAACAAATCTTGATTATTGTTTTTTTTTCTCTCGGCCAGTCACATTAAGCCATTCTATGATCAACAACTTTTAACACGTGCATTGGAGGTATCAACTGAATCCTTTCTGTTTATCTAACTATTTATGAAAGCTTTAATTTGATTGGTGCTTCTCAAAGTGAGAAGCAAACCCAAAAATATTTAATGAAATTGGAGGGGTCCCATGGCAAAGTGTTGACTCAGGACCCCTGGCATTGCGAGGATGGGGAATTACCTCTTTGTCTAGAGACTTGTCACAAATCATGGATGGCAGACCTGATCTCTACAATGAGGAATTATCTACTGTGGAATCATCAGTGTTCGTGGGGTACCAATGTTCGTGAATTTCTGTGGATCACCCTTATCCATCATCCCCACGTACAATTATTTTGTTCAACATTTTTATACAGTGTATATTTATACAAATTTGCTTGCCCAAGAACATTGAACACCCACAAATGGAAATGATTCCACACTCCACAGTATATCATTAACTCTTACACCATGGATGATTATTTTTCTCTTATTTCTTTTTTCAGGAATGATGAAAAAACTGCACAAGACTACAAAGTGACAGGAGGTTCAGTCCTACATTTAGTGCTGGCTTTAAGAGGAGGACAATGATAATCAGATTAAAAAAATCATTTAAAAAAAAAAAAGAACAAAAATCTTACCTTTGATTACTCATTTGACAATTAAACATAAGCTTATATTCAAAATAGACATGACAAATTTCAGATAAAAATAAACTTCTGGGGATAGTTTTAGGCCTGTCAAAACTTATTTTCAAGACAAAACAAAGGAAGATGAACTTTAACTGGGAATTAAGATGGTTTTTTGCTTTACTATACATGTATTTGCTAATGCCTGTGTAAGATATATTGCGACAACTACACTTGAATATAGATGAAAAGTGTGTGAAAGAGATGAGTGCATGTAGCTAAATGATATGTGTTATGTTGAATAAACTTTTTCTCTTATTGTTGGCTCTTTAATATTTAAAATTTTAAAATACACATTACACAAAGGTAAATCACTTGCACTGTGGTGCCAAAAAAAAAGTTGAGCATTCCTGGTGATGCAAGAATTTGTACCCCGCTGTTGATTCTTCTTTATTGTTTATTTGCAGAGTAAAGAGTTTTTAAGTTAGAGTCCAACCAGTATTGGAATTTTTGAGTTGTACTAAATTGGAGCATACTTTATACCTCAGCGACTAAAGATGACAGGGTTGTCCTTAAGACCCAGGGGGCCAGGGAATTTTCCTGTGTAATATGAAGTAATCCCCTGGTATATTCTGATATTCCCCCTCAACTCCCTGTTAGGGGAGGAACCCCAAACCCCCTTCTACTTATTTAATGTTCCCTGCTATTTCAATTCTTAGGGACAGTCCTGGGGTGATGATAATTTAACCACCAATTTACAATTTTAAATGAAATCCAAATCCTCATCCTCTTTTGCAGCAGGGAAAAAAATCAAGAATGGGCATTGTGAAGTTATCAATTACATATATTTTAAGCAGGACATGTATAAGCTCCCCTAGTATTGATCCTAAGCATCATTGTTAAAAGTGGCTTGGTGCATGAGTTGAATAACTAGAAACTAGTAGAAAGCATTTATCAAGGCCTCGCAAAACATGATGATGTGTGAAATATCATGATTTTACATTCAGTCACTAAAAAACGCTGAATTTATTATTCTTCACCTTTATAACAATCTTGGCATATTGACATAAATTTTTGTTTTCTGCTCTTGAAAAAACTTGAACATACATGTACATTTAGAATAAAGCTTTGAGGTATTGATACCCCATGCAACAAGTTGTGGAGGTTATATATTTTTGACCTATCTGTCAGTCCTGTTGTCAGCTCAATTTCTCTGAAACCACTGAACAGAATTTCAGAGAAACCTTGTTGTTAATAAGGACATAAAAAGTAGATTGAAATTCTGATTCAATTTTTTTTTTCTGGGAGTTTTGCCACTTAAGAACCCTCTATACACTGTACACTAAAGAGTTCCGATTCTATGGTATTTTTATGTAGTTAGAGTAATCTGCCCTTAGATCTAAAATAAATTGAAATCTACAGTTTATTAATCAATTTCTAATCAATTCAAGCATTCTTAACATTTTGATAGGCCAAGATAAATTAATTGAACACCTCATCTTCATGCTTTTTCCCCATTTAGGTAAACAGCAGGGATTTCTGTTCATCAAAACTTTGTTGACTTTGAACATTTTTCCAGGAGGTAAAAGCCAGGCACCCTATGTTGAAAATGATATAAATAAGTTCAATATTTACATCTTTATACTATATAATTTTCTCAATGTCCGAAAAACATCTTCGTTAAGTGTAAAGAGGGTCCTTAAATTCAAAGTTTGGTCTAAATTATTCAGTGTACTACTGTAACATTTTGTCATGAAACTCCTTTTAAAATGCTGAACAGGTCGAATTCTGTAAATCTTTTTACTTAATAAGTGTGATTAAGTTCATGTGCAAAAATGCCCAAAATTGGAGCCAGGCACATTACTGGATGAAGAAATAAGGCATGCTGTGTAGATTTGCAGGAAATTCCGATTCATTTTTTTTTTTACTGAAAGTTATACCCCTTTTGAACTTAGAAGTTTGGCCTCCGTCAGTCCTGCTCTTGTCATCTCAGCTCCTCTGAGGCCACTGAATAGAATTTCTTAATAAGGACATACTGAGTAGTCTTTCAGGAAATTCTGATTCATTTTATTATGAGAGTTATGCCCCTTTTAAACTCGGATGTAGGGCCTCTGTTAGTCCTATTCAAACTAGAGCAACTTCTCTGAAACCACTGAACAGAATTTCATGAAACTTTGTTGTTAATAAGGACACACTGTTTAGATGTGTATATTCACAGGAAATCTGATTATTTTTTTTTTATTGGGGATTATATAATATATATATTGGGGGTGGTATATGAGCTTGCTCCTATACATGTGCGTGTTTTCGTCTTTAAAAATCGTAAAAAAAAAATCGAACGCAATAATTTTTGGGTAGCTCAGATTTTATTATAATTCGTCATGGATTATTAGATAACAGTAGTGTCATGTAAATTTTTGAATTTACCGGGTGGCAGTAAATACAAAATTTACAACATGACAACTTGTAAATTTTGTATTTACTGCCACCGGTAAATTCAAAATTTACAACTTGACAGTAGAACACTTGTATAGTGAAACCTCATTTCACAGCACGTGTTTTGTTTTTTGTAAGTACACTTTTAATAATTTTTCTTTTTAAAAAAAATTGCAGAAAGGACACCATTTGGTAACTCTTCTACAAACAAGTTGCAAATGTTCAATTATTCCTCATACTGTAGGCCACCAAGGCACAAAAAGTGGATTCGTTGCGTCAGATCAGTAACACTATTGTATACGACTAATACACAGTTGGTATTAAATACTGTTTTTTTCTTGCTATAAGTATATGCATTAGTATTTAATAAGAGAGGAACACGGCTGGGACAATTTTCCTTGTCCATTCAAATCCGTCAGTTCTATTACCACCAGGCACAGTATCACTTTGGCGCCGACTTTTTCAATTAATTCACATGCTGCTTTCATTGTGCCTAAAAAATATGTTAAATGTATACATTTACATTTGCCAATATTCTTTTAATACATATCATCAGTAATATTCGGGATTTTAATGTAAAGAATGGATGCAATGACACCGACAACATAAGCGTGATTACAGGTCCGTAGGAAGTAATTTCATTATCTTTCAAGGGGGGGGGGGGGAGGGGAGGGCATAACCGCACATTAACAACATCGTTATCTATTTAATAGCATAAACAGGCAAAATTATTGGAAAGGGGGGGGGGCGGTTCCTACGGGCCTGTTAAAGGGAGAAATAGTCACCTTCGAAGGAGGGACTGTGGTAACTTAATTTTTTTATCGTACTTTCCTTGTCGGAAAAAGCAACGAGTGCGTCTTGGAGGCGAGGTTATAAAAATGAACGCCAGTCTCAATTTTATTTCATAAAGCTGCATTTTTATGAACAGAAAACTAAAACATACCTCCTGTTGCTAAGAGATCGTCAACAATTACAACAGACTGTCCTGGCTTAAATGCTTCTTTCTGGACCTCAAAGACGTCCTACATAAAAACAAAGCTTGGATTAATATAAAAATCCTTGCTAGATTGATGAGAGTTACAGAGATAATGAGAGAAACTAACACATACTTATATTCATTATTATTATAGAAAAGAAATAAACAAATTCATTACCGAATCAAAGCCCATATGAGCATAACAAAATTTAATCTATATATGTGGATTTTTCAGTTGAAATTCATTAGTTCCAAATAGGCGAGTACTAATATCACAACTGACAGTCGAACACTGACAGGTCGGTTGTTTTATCATTTTTAACGTTTAATTGTTACTGACAAACATATTTGGAAAAAAAATGACTGAAGATGGAGATTAAGTCGTGTATAGAGTCTGAGTTGATTAAATTCTTACAAATCATTTCTTCTGCATTGTCCCTTTTTGAACTAGCTGGTTTGAGATGAGATAACGGAAATTTCTTTAATAACTTACTCTCTTTCTGTTCCGAGATTTATATTTACCCCCCCCCCGCCCCCATTAAAATCACTTCACATCATGAAATGGGTGAATGTTATAATGTGTATGCATGTAGCTGATACATCTCTATGTAAATGAAGTACATGTATGTGACAATGAATTATAAACCTTATACATGTGCAGCATAGCCTCTCACTTCAAAGAAATAATAAGCCCAACAAGTGCAAAATTATGAACATAAAGTTTTTTTTTATTATACATTTCAGAATTTCAAAAAGAAGGTACAACAGAATATCAGATATCTAAATGGAAATTTACCATTTATGATTTTGAAAGGGAATCAGTACCCTTTTTTGAGGAATATAGATTCCTTAAAAGCCAAAGTTGTTTAAATCCATTGAATATATAAATAGTTACATGTAGCAATGAGCCACAGATCTGTCTTCATTACGCACATCTGAAAAATTTCACCTATAAATATGTATAGGAGCAAGAAAAAACACAAGTCAAATAAAGTATAAACTGCAAATTAAAGAGCCTATAAATGTTCCTCTTTCGACCAAGATATTCACGACGGAAATCAGATAAATAAATTATGGAAGTGTTCAAACTTCCTATTGTAGACAACAGCAGCTTCTCTTCTGTTCACAAAATGTCTTGGGTTCTTTTAATTGACTGTCTGTCTAGAATTTCTTCGGAGAAGCTGTTTTCTTCTTTGTTCCGTCAACTTATTTTTATCCTTCTTAAGAAAACCTTTCTCCACAAGAATTCTCTCACTTTCTTCTGTGAAAAAAAAAAAGAAAAATAAATTTAATATAACAAAGAATTGGAAAGTTTATGAAATTGGTCAGTGAAGACTGATTTAATCGTATTTAGTATTACCTTCCCATTGAACGTAAGCGTTCTCGTCTTCAAGATCCAGAACCAAGATTGTCTTCACTTGTCCAACGAGGGGAGGTAACGTGGGCACACTTGATTTGTAGGTGGAGTTCATCAACTCAGTCTTTTCAATGGCATCTGGAGAAAGGTCATTATCATCATGATCATGACTAGTATCCCCATGGGCTTTAATCGGTGTTACACAAAACATCATCTCTGGGAGAGTTTGAATGTCATTCTTCTCTTGATCATGCGCCATTTCTTTGTTGACCTCCTGTATTTTTTTGTAGGCGGCTTCCTCTTCGTCGGACAGAATGCCAACTTTATTGTTCCGCAAACAGCTTTGGAAGAGACCCATTTTTGTTTTCTTGTCAACAAAATCGCGCTATGCACAACTAAGTTATTATGACGTCATGATACTTTGGCGCCTTTGACGCCAAAGCATTATGATGTAAAATAATTGTGACGCTAAATACGCGGATTATGCATTTTTTCCAAACAAAAAAAAAAAAAAAAAAAAAAAACCTTTTTGCCTGGGTGGAATTCAAGAGCTATATATGTTGAGATAAGTAAATATTGTACGTATGATATTTTAATACACCAAGAAAAACAAATTTGTTGTTGCAGTTTGTTTATGGCTTTTTAATTGCAGTGTAACGCACACATTGGACAGTGCTGAGTCCGTTTCATATTTACTTAATTAACACACACATACTATAGAAAAAATCGTGGCCACGAATTTTATTTCGTTTCCACGAATTTTTATTTCTTGGCCACGAATTTTATCTCGTGGTCTTGAATTAATTATAAAAAAAAAGTCGTACCATGTCCTATACCAGCCACCGTAGAAAAAGTAATTTCATCATGTTTGCTGGCCGCTTGCCATCTATAATTTCATTTTTATAATGAACGACTGTATAATTACCGTTCCATATTCTTTGGTATAAGAAACACTTTCCATCTTCCCGGGCAATTTACCCTTCTTCCGGACTGGTGCAAAACTGCAGTTAAGTCTTTGAGCAATGATGGGTCCGAAAAGAAATCCCCTGGCTTCCAGTCCCACTACGATCTCCACACCAGGTGCCTTCTCCTTCACATACTCCACCATAGCATCCATAAGATCATTAAACGCACCCGGGTTTCGTAATACTGGGAAAATGTCTCTGAAGATATATATACATTAATTTTCTTTTAAGTTATTTGCCTTTAAAATGTATGTATATATAATATTTTTTTTACTTATTGAATGGGGATTCATATGAGACCATCTGAGAGTGTCACAAGAATACATGTAGTCTTAAAAGATAATAATAAGGGAAAAAAAGGAATAAAAGTCGAAAACTATAGGTGATATTTGTACTTTTTCTCCAAAGCGAAAATGGGGGCTATTTTTTTTTTTAATTTTTAAGCACACGTTATAAAACACAGGTACATAGGAAGCAATTTCAAAGGAGTGGGGTTGGCACAACCTTAAAAAAATCCTTGAAAAGCAATTTTTAAAAAAAATCATAAGGCGTCGTCAGGCATAACTATAAATCAGCTTTGTTTTCTGTTGTATGTACATGCATATTCGGAGGGTACACCCCCCTCCCACACGTTCCTTTGGGTCTGCAAAAAGTACATACAAATTTGAAATAATTGTTTGAAAAATTCTTTTGAAACATTCAAAGTGTTAAATGTCAGATGTGTAAAAATTACACAGTTAAATCTGCAAAACCCAAACAAAATAACATGTTGCATCATTTGCATGCAAACCCATAACAAAACCAGCAGAAAAGATTACTGAAATACTGTCCATTGCAATATGGCGATCGAGCTCTGGTAATTACCATTTTGTCTTAAGTTTTGCGTTTATGCAACTACGCGCCTGCCAGTATAATTTTATTCTTGCACTATCCATAAAACAGGTTGATTTAACCAAAAAACAAAAAACAAAAAAAACCGGCTAATTCTACTGGCCACTAATCATTTTTCGACTGAAAAAAAGTTCAAATGAAACTCTGGTCATAGACGTCGGAAGCAAATTGAAAGTGTGTGTGGGGGGGGGGGGGGGGGCTAAACCAACAAATACACGTTTGGGGGCTAAGCCCCAAATTTCAATGTCTATATGATGCCTATCTTTTCAAAAAAAGGGGCTAAGCCTCCTAGCATCCCCCACCCCGGTTCCGACGCCTATGCAGATGATCAGAGAACATGTACGATGACACGATGTCCAGAGCGATAACGTTAGTTTGATTATACGCTGATGTTCAGGCACAATGATACTGACGCGATGACACGATGACGACATGAAGCAATGCTCTTTCATGTCACTGTCAACGCCATCGTATCATCGCGTCATCCCTTTAACGTGAACGCGCTAGATCGCACCGTCGCAAAAAGGAATTGGGTAATGTACAAGGGAAGTACATGTATGCAATAGCGGATGAAGGGGGGGGGGGGGATGGGGCATGGAGACAGGAGAAGAAGGAGGGTGGGAAGATAGAAGAGGATGGGAAAGACATGAAGAGAAAGTGGAATATGGAGAAACGGGAAGAGCATCGAGAAGGTAAACGTTCCTGCACCCCGTCCACCCGCAAGAGCAGAAAAAATTGAGATTTTATTGATTTTATTACACTCCTCAGTACGGGTATTGCGCTAGACGTTCTAAATATCGTCAATGTAATGGACATTTTAATGGTTTTTCAATAAAAGTCACATGAACATAAATATTTTCTTTTTTATGTTTATTACGGAAATGGTACACCTTACTATGAACTCAAAGCCATGCTTATGTTTACTCTAATATTACGCCTATACATAAGTATTTTTTTCAAAAAGCATCTTACCGAAACAAGACCCCAGGTGTCGGAAAGTCAGGATGCTCTGTAATGTGAGATTTTATTCTTTCGATTCTGTTGTCAGTCATGTTTGTAAACTGGTCAAACGTTCTACTTACGTGGCCTAGAAAATCAAAATAAACCAAATGTTAACAGGGCTCCCAAGGGGGGATCCAAATGCCTCCAGTTATAAGTTTTAACAAAGTTAAATAATAATTTTAAAAAAAAAATCCTGAGTTGTTCCCATTGATTAATTTACAAACGTAATTATAATATTGATAAAAAAAAAGAAAGAAAAAATATTTAGTTCCAATGTAGAGATAAGGTATAAAAAATAATATCTTGCTTAAGCTTACACGTTTAACGTAAGTAATATCTTATTCAAATTTTAATTAAAAACATTACAATAAAGATATATACGTGTAAAAATCATTCTGAGTTAAAAATTTAAGCCCCCCCCCCCCCCGTCGTATTCCTAGTTCAATAATCATGATAATTATGACATTCAAGCTCCATGTACATCTGTTCAAATATATGAATTTCTTGAATTCATACTGGTGATTGATGATCAAGATATGGGATACCATTTCAGAAAATCTGCATCTTCCAAATGTCTCAAAGACTTTTTTCCCTTGCAATGTAACTAACTTTTGGTCACCGGGCATTTTTAATTGAGCAGCGATCTGTGTCGCTACCTCACCATTAATCTTAATCAAAACAACGTTTCCTGTAATGAGTATAAGCGAAGTAAAAGAAACAATTTTAAAATTACACAATGATGCCAAAACAATTTTTGGTAAAAATGATAGAAAAAGACACTCCTGTGGAGGTAAAAAATTTGAAAGGATAAACTTGAAATAGAATCGACTTAAGAGGATGGTATGATAATAAATACTTCTTACTTAAATGCAGAGACATATAAAAACCATTTTTTATGGTTTTTATATGTCTCTGTTAAATGTTAGTCTTCTCTCTTAGTTATATCCATAGAAGATATTTATTAGTTATATCCATAGAAGATATTTATTACCTACATTTTATGTTTATGGAACGCATGTGGTATGAAAAGTGGACTTCTTTTTAAAAATGGTTATTTTCGCCTGCAATTAGACTAGAATAATTTTATTTTTTTGAAATTTTGTATTGCCGTATTGGAGTATATGCCGTCTTTAATAATTCAACAGACATAGAATCGATCATGTGATGTTAAAGTTAACTTAACGGTTAAGTTAACCAAGTAAAAGTTTCTGTTTGGAAAGATGTGTTACACATTTTCTGATGGTAAACCATTAGGATGATTGAAGTTAGAATAATTTACTACGTCTAAGCACAGGAATATACAGGCCCGTAGGAAGCAATTTCAGTTAGGGGGGCACAGCCACAGGCACTTGTTTCGTATACGGGGCACCCCTTCTTATTTTTCCACAAGGTACCTAACTCAATTTCAGGCACCCCCACTTCAAGCTCATATTTTGTTCATTTATCAATCATTAACATATTTTAAAATTATATCGTTCGCTTCGAGAGACTTTTTTTTGTCAAATAAATCCTTTCAGACGTCTCTGGTTGAGCCTCTTTATTGTAAACCACTCATTTATTCCTCAAAAATTACCTCGATACATATGAAGACTTTAGATGGGATACAACTTCCGGTTGGGGGTAGGATAAAACCAGAGACTTCTGAGTATTCCATTCCGAGGTCTCTGGTTTTATCCTTCGTTTATAACCCCAACCGGAAATTTGTATCCCATCTAAAGTCTTAAAATGTATCAAGGTAATTAATGAGTGGTTTACAATAAAGAGGCTCGACCAGAGACATCTGAAAGGATTTATTTTACCTACCAACCCAACTGTTTAAAGACTCATTTGGCAATGCCAAACCAACAATTTTTTAATTGTGGCCTTACACATATCAAAAGATTGAGTTGGAACAGACCTGCGCTCTATGACTTTTAATCAAAATATTCATGTAAAATACACTTTTGTCTCTCAAATTCATTGAAATGTAGAGTTTACTTCATCTTCTTGATGTCATATCTTACATATGACATCATGATGGCTAATGAAAATGGGCAATTCTTTGGAATCTGTAGGTAAGAACATACACAGAGACTTCAAAGTTTGGTATTGGGGGCAGATATTGGTCATTACAGAATATAGTCCTTTCCTAGAGGAGAAAATTCACAATGACCTTTTTCAAATACAAAAAGTTGTCTTGCATTTCACTGTATAATGAAAATAACTAAATAAATTAAGATAGTTAATTTTTTATTACTAATTTATCAAATTTACAACTTTTTTTTTACTTATATAAGTAACATGCAGTTTTGAATTTATAAAATTGAATGTTCTTTAGAGTAGTGTCTATAGGAGTGTCATTTGAATAATATTATGCATGTGTCATAGTTTAATTTGGCACTCGGAAAATAAATGTACTGCAGACAGTCTGAGTTTCCAACTTTTTTCTTTGACTGGATTTTTCTTAATAGGGAGCAAAAATTGTGTCCTGGATTTAAACTTCAAAAATTGAAATAAATCAAATTTGTGAAAAATTAATGTTCACATTCTTGAAAGCCCCATATGTAATACTGCATGAATGAAATACACTGCTTCTCAGACCCTGTATTCCTTGGAATCATTTATGTAAGGTACTTGTAAACTTACAGACCTGCCTAGTGCCCACTCTCCCAATTTACCCATAATTTTTACATTTTTGACCCCCTAATTATGAATTCCATCATTAATCTGGGTCAATAAGATGATATTATTTTATCAATAAATTAGGGTGAGCACAGCTAACATATATTGTTAATCATGCATTTAATGTAGGATATTCTTTAAATATAGGAAACTTAATTTTGTTCTATCTTTAGATTATCTGACTGTGACACAGACAATGAGGTGATATGCTCTTCTACAGCATGACTTTGTAAATCATCTTAGAGACAAAAACTATGAGCCAGAAAATGAAACCTGGTTCTTCCAAAGGGGATGTCTCCTATGTGAGAGCCACAGGTGCATCCCCCCAGCTGCCTATGGCACCTTCTCCCTCCCTCATGAGAGACGGCAGTCATACACCAGTGTCACAATTGTCCAATATGGACAATGACTGGGATGACAGAGATGAGATTCGTCAGCGAGAGCTGGAGGAGGCCAGGGGTCGAGTATCGCAGATGGAGAAGACAATGAGATGGTGGTCAGACTGCACTGCAAATTGGCGGGAGAAGTGGAGCAAGGTCAGGAACGAGCGAAACAAAGCCAGGGAGGAAAACCGTCAACTTCGTGCTAAACTGGAACAGCTTGTAAAAGAATGCACAGTTCTTAAGAGAGAGAAGCAGGAAATTCAAGCCGAGAATGTCAAACTGAAGAAAGATTCCCCTGTAGGTACAAGTGACAGTGTGAAAAAAGAGTTGGAAAATAATCTTTGTAAATCTGCTGAGAAAGAAAAGACTTTCGAGGAAAAAGATGTTAATGTGCAGACAGCAAATGTGAATAATGTGAGTCAAGAAGTTGAGGGAAGCTTAGCTGAGGAAAAAGTGACTTTGTTTGAACTTAAACTGGATGAAGCACAGAAAACACTTCTTGCTGAGAGAGGGTGAGAGTTATTTTTTTAATGATCAGTTGAATTTATTAGTTTACTATAAAATTGCAACATTTAGCAAGTTCCACTGTTTTATACAGAGACAAAACATCACTGATGAAGACCATAGAAAAACTACAAATGGATCTTAGCACAATGAAACAGAAATATGAGGAAGCCAAAAGATCAAAGCAGGATGTTTTGCTTGAGGTATGTATACATGTACAAGGAAATAAGTATGCATTTAAATGACATTGTTAAGTAATAAATTGTATTTGCATAGGAGCCATTTGCATAAGAAATGTAAGATTAGAGAATAAAAAAATATACCAATAACATAACTTTTTATTTAAGAATAGTAGGAGTTATGCTGAAATTTATGATTTGATAACAATATGTGTCACTGAAGAGATCTCTTAGACATATGTATATTATAGCAACCTTTGAAAAATAAAATCATTTTGAATCTATGCTTGTCCTCCATAGATATCCAAGCTGAAAGAGGATCACAGAGGGGAAATTGATCAACTTATCAAAGATGTTGATGAGGAGATTAGTAATAAATCTGTAGTGGACAAAAAACTCAATGAAGTCCGAAAAGAGGTAGGTTATACTATATTAGATCAAATATAAATTCTGAATACTGGTAAAGTTAGTCCACATAAAATAATTTGTAGATTCTCATGCTAATTGACAAAAAAATGTGAGGATGGGTGAACTTTACTTCATAGTTTTCTTTCTTTATTGAAAATATAATTTATTCCATTGTTTTTGTACAAATTGCTAAAATTATTCTGGACATTAAAGCTAACACAAATCCACAAACCAAGGTTCTTCTGTTTTTAATTATACAAATTTTATTTCTACAATACTCATTTAATATAGATTATATATTATTCTGGCTCTTTTTTTTTATGCCCCCGGATCGAAAGATCCCTGGGGTATATTGTTTTTGTCTTGTCTGTCTGTTTGTCTGTCTGTTTTCAACTTAAACCTAGCCCATAACTATTGTGCTGTCAAGGGTAAGGCTTTAATATTTGACATGAGTGTTCATTATGACAAGACCTTTCTATTGGTTCAGAAATTTTTGATCATGTGACCTCAGCTATGACCTTTGACCTACATTTGAAAAACTTTAACATTGGCCATTACTATTGCACTGTTGTCTACGTCCCACTCCAGAATTGTGTTAATATCGGGGTCATAGTGTTTCACAAACACATTTTGTTTTCTATATGTTTTATTCCCTTTTTAAATCAAAATAAAAATGATTGGGAAGGATGCTTTGAGAGGGATTGGTGGGGATGATAATGAAAAAAATATATATATTTTTTTAATTTCAATTTCATTAGTGAAATGACTTTAGTTAACCTTTTAGCAATTAATTGCTTTTCAGCAATTTCCTAGGACCAAATTCATTGACAGAAATTTGAAATCTGTCTTCTCTCTTCTTTTTTAAACAAAAAAGATGAACTGTATATCAGATATATGTGTTTCTTCTGCAGCTTGAGAGACTTCAGAGAGAAAATGCTGATGAGTGGGGGAAGAGG